TGTCCCCCATGCTGGAAATAATCCCCACTTACATGTATGGTTGAAGTCAAATTGGAGTTTTGTTCATCTGGGTCTACATTACCCACATTTTGGAGCGCTTGCCAGGGTCCTGGGCAGATGGGTTTTTGCGACGAAACCAGACACGGATGGCTCAGGGATCCGTTTCAAGGCCCGCTACGTTGCGAAGGGTTTCACCCAGATAGCCGGGAAAGATTTTAATGAAACTTTCGCTCCGACAGCTACTTTTGTTTCTCTTAGACTCCTTCTAACCATAGCAGCCGCCAATAAATGGCCTGTTCACAGTTTCGATTTTGTAGCCGCGTATCTAAATTCGCCAATCGACGAGGAGGTCTGGGTGAAACCACCCAAAGGCATGTCAATCCCAGAAAACCATGGCTTACTTCTTCGCAAGGCTCTTTATGGTACGAGGCAGGCTGCCCGGTGCTGGTGGCTACACCTCAAGAACCTACTCGACAAATTCGGCTACACGCCTTCGCAGTATGATAACAGCCTTTATGTTTTGAGACATCCCGATGAGTTAGGGGTTGTTTGGCTGCATGTAGATGACGGCGTCATGACAGCGTCATCGGAAAGGCTAATAAGAAAACTTGAATCTGATCTTAAAGATTTACTCAAGATCAAATGGTCTGATAAGCTGACATCTATCGTAGGACTCGATGTGACGCGCGATGAATCAGGTTTCACCCTAAGTCAACGAGCGCTGGTCAACAATATTCTTGACTCAGAATGGGATGGGGCAACCACAGCAAGAACACCACTTCCGTCCGGTTTCAATGCCATCACAGACCCAGATGGGGACGAAAGCAAATCGACTAAGTACCTGTCGATTATTGGGTCGCTCAGCTACTTAGCAGTCGGAACCCGACCCGACATGGCGTTTGCTGTCAACTACCTGGCAAGGTTTTCCGCCAAGCCTGGGCCCGCCCACTGGAAAGGCCTTGCCCATTTGATCAATTACTTGGCCGGGTCTAAGGAGGTAAAGCTGAATCTTTTTCCTACACACGACAGTGAACCACTGAAATGTTTTTGTGACGCCTCCTGGGGCGGAGAATTTTCCCGCTCGTCGTATGGCATTCTAACCACCTATTTGAACCGCCCGATCCTGTGGGTTTCCCGCCGACAACAGTCGGTTGCATCGTCCACTTGCCATGCAGAATACATGGCCCTGGGAGTGGCGACGCGACAGACTTTGTGGGTGAGACATCTTCTCAAGGACGTGCTTTGGGTAGATTTTACTGGACATATGTACTGTGACAACCAGTCAGCTATACGAGTAGCCACTGATGATGCGTCGAACAAGCGCACCCGCCATACTGACAGAGATTTCTACATTGCCAATGAAGCGCTATTCCAGAAGAAGACCACGATAAAGTGGATAGGGACAAAGGATCAACTGGCAGATATCTTCACAAAGTGCCTGACCCCTGAAGTTTTTGACTCACTAAAATGCAGGATCATGGGGAGAGGTTGATGTTTTCAGTCTATTTGTCTTTCAATTTTTTTTAGTTACTCAATTTTTTCCTATAATCCTTCTCCTTTTTTTATTTTGTTCAAACTTTTTGATTTCATGTTTTTTTCTCTGTTCCGTATTGGTTGTACGTAGATATTGGTCTACGGCGAGAGGGGGGGTGTTGTAACCCAGAAGGGGTTACGAGCCCTGAGACTCGCCGCAGTCCATATATATATCTACCTCGGGTGCAGACCCGAGGTAGGAAGCATGGAATCTATGATCTATCTCACTCATCCTCTCCGATATTCCGTCTGAGGTGCGAACAGATGTGACCATACAAATTATGGCTTGAAGAAATGAAGAATAAATACTTTGTATGTATGTATAACATAATGAAATAAACATCCACGTGTTTATCAGATGAGGCTTTCAGGACGACTCACGACTCGGCGGACTTGATTCCTTCTCTGTATCGGTGACTAGGATGTGCCGTCGGATGATTGATTATCGAGCTTCTGGAATCTGAAGGGGATAAAAGCCAGCCCGCTCTATTCCTCTGCAATCCGCTTCCCGCCATTCTCGCCCTACAATCAAACGCATCTCGTCCACACTTAAATTATCGTCAAAACATTACACGGTCTTTCCGAACAAACAAAAAATGAAAATCTTTCTGTTCTTACTCGGACTGCTCCTCTCGCGGGAAGCCGTAGCCGCTCCGGCTCCGGTAAGAGCGTTGGTATCTCGTCAAGAGTCCGGCGCCAGCGGTGTTCTACCGCCTGGTAGTTGCCCAGGTCCCATATGCGCTTAGGACACCGTGGGCTGGCAAAGCTTTGACAGACGCATATGTATACCCAAGGTAGATCCTAGCGATGGCTTCTTCCTCTCTAGTATCCGCTCTGCTGACAGATTGACCTTTCAATTCTATTTTAGAGCATCGAGCGTTCTTCTATCATATTCTCACCTACAACTTGGACGTGTTGCGTCGAAAAGCGACCACCCTTTGGATCTTTTCTGTAACCTGACCTCCCACATAAAAGACTATCTTTAAATACTCACTGGCTGTCGCTTGACTATATTATTATGAATCCTCTTGGCACAATTTTGGGATCTCGGAAAATTTTATTATCGTTGAATTGCTCTAACTATGTTGGCTCTAATTTTGTTTTCTCTTGTTCCTTAAACTGCCTCCCGCATTGCGCCAAGTAGCATATGGACTTAGAATTTTGACCAATGTGAGGGGGAGGATGTTTCTTTGCCTAGAAATGGACTCGACTCGTTTTTCATCACTTGCAAGACCTAAAGTACATACTTGAAATGAACCGTGTTTTTAGAGAGGTCATTCCTTTTGGGGTGCCGATCGACCACATAAATCGTGACTTGCAGAAATCAAGAATACTTGTAATGAAATAAATATCCTAGGGTTTATCAGATGAGGCTTTCAGGGTGACTCACGACTCTATGTAATTTCTTTTCTGTACCGGTGCCTGGTATGTACCGTCGAGGCAGGATAATGGAATCTGCAGCTTGGATGATTGATCCTCGAGCTTTCGAAGAGGTTAAAAGCCAGCTCGCTCTATTCCTCTGTCGTCCTCATCCCGCCATTCTCGCCCTACAATCAACCGCATCTCGTCCACACTTAATTATTGTCAAAACATTACACGGCGTTGCCAGACAAAAAAGAAACATGAAACTCTTTCTGTTTTTACTCGGACTGCTCCTCTCGCGCGAAGCTGCAGCCGCTCCGGCCCCGGTAAGAGCTTTGGTATCTCGTCAAGAGTCCGGCGAAAACGGTACTCTACCGCCTGGTGGTTGCCAAGGTCCCATATGCGCTTAGGACACCGTGGGCTGGCGAAGCTTTGGCAGACGTATATGTATACCCAAGGTAAATCCTGGCGATGACTTCTTCCTCTCTAGTATCCGCTCTGCTGACAAGTTGACCTTGCAATTTTATTTTGAAGCATCGAGCGTTCTTCCATCATATTCACCGATTCCTTGGACACCTTTCGTCACCCTTGGATCTTATCTTCACCCTGACATCCCACACAAAAAACCCATCTTTCTATACGTACTATCGCTTTACTATATTATTATAAATTCTCTGGGCCCAATTCTGGGACTTCAGAAAATTTTATTATTGTTGTGGCTTTCTCTTGTTCCTTAAACTAGTGGCATTTCCCTAATGACTTGCAGAGAAGTCGCTGGAATAGCCCGGAGAGTACGATACTCCTGGATTTGACCAATGTGAGGGAGAGGATGTTTCTTTGCCTAGAAATGGACTCGACTCGTTTTTCATCACTTGCAAAACCCAAAGTACATACTTGAAATGAACCGTGTTTTTAGGGAGGTCCTTCCTTTTTGGGGTGGCAAGTGACCACACAATACGTGGCTTGCAGAAATGCAGAATACTTGTAATGAAATAAATATCCACGTGTTTATCAGATGAGGTTTTCAGGACGACTCACGACTTGATTTCTTTTCTGTATCGGTGTCTGGTATGTATGTATGTATCGTCGAGGCAGGATAAGGGAATAAGCAGCTTGGATGATTGAATTCTCGAGCTCTAGAAGTCTGGAAGAGGTTAAAACCCAACTCGCTCTATTCCTCACAGTGCTCTTTCCGCCATCCTCGCACTACAATCAACGGCATCTCGTCCACACTCAAGTATCGTCAAAACATTACACGGGGTTACCAAACAAAAAAGAAACATGAAACACTTTCTGTTCTTACTCGGACTGCTCCTCTCGCGGGAAGCTTTAGCCGCTCCGGCTCCAGTAAAAGCTCGTAGACAGGTCGCTGAAAGAGGCTCTCTACCGCCTGGTAATTGCCAAGGACCTATTATATGCGCTTAGGACACCGCGGCAAAGCTTTGACAGACGTATATACCCAAGGTAGGTCCAGGCGATGACTTCTTCCTCTCTAGTATCCGCTCTGCTGACAAGTTGACCTTTCAATTCTATTTTAGAGCATCGAGGATTCGAGCGTTCTTCTATCATATTCACCTACAACTTGGACGTGTTGCGTCGAAAAGCGACCACCCTTTGGATCTTCTCTTCTTTAACCTGACCTCCCACACAAAAGACTATCTTGACATACTCACTGTCGCTTGACTATATTATTACGAATCCTCTTGGCACAATTTTGGGATCTCGGAAAATATTATTATTGTTGAATTGCTCTAAACTATGTTGGCTTAAATTTGTTTTCTCTTGTTCCTTAAACTACCTCCCTCATTGCCCCAAGAAGCATATGGACTTGAACATTGCAGGTTTCCTCTGCACTCGATGACTTGGAGAGAGAAGTCGCTGGAACAAGCCCGGAGAGTACGATACTCCTGGATTTGACCAATGTGAGGGAGAGGATGTTCCTTTGCCTAGAAATGGGCTTCACTCGTTTTTCATCACTTGCAAAACCCAAAGTATGTACATGTGTAATTCAAATGAACCGTGTTTTTAGGGAGGTCCTTCCTTTTGGGGTGGCAAGTGACCACACAAATCGTGGCTTCGAATGGAGAATACTTGGAATGAAATTGTAAATATTCATGTGTTGATCAGATGAGATGAGGCTGTCGGGGCCCGGCTACTCACGACTTGACTTCTTTTCTGCATCGGTGTCTGGTATGTATCACTACATATGTACCGTCGAGGCAGGAGAATGGTTCAAGCAGGTTGGACGATTGTATCGAGCTTTCGAAGAAGTTAAAAGCCAGCTCGCTCTTCCCCTGCCCAGTCTTTCCACAAGTCCCACCCCAAAAATCAACCGCACCCTCGTACACACTCAAGTATTGTCAAACTGTTGAACGGGATTGATAACAAAACATGAAAATCTTTCTGTTCCTGTTAGGACTGCTCCTCTCGCGGGAAGCTATGGCCGTTCCGGCTCCGATAAAAGCTTTGGTATCTCGTCAACATCCCTCCGAAAGCGTTTTGCCGCCTGGTTGCTACGGTCCCATGTGCGGTTAGGACTCCGTGACAACGCTCTTACGTGGATAACCTAGGTAGGTGTCGGCGATGGCTTGTAAAGAACCTAAAACTGATGGTTTCCAAACCAGGGCGTTAGGGCACGACCTTCGTGAACTAACAGCGAGAGCAAGACTAGAAGCGAACCTGATGGTTTCCAAACCAGGGCGTTAGGGCACGACCTTCGTGAACTAACAGCGAGAGCAAGACTAGAAGCGAACCTGAGTGCGAGCGAGATGAAACAGAAGGTTGAGGCGAGTAAGACACAGGAAACGAAATGAACTGGAGAAATCGAATCTTTATTTCTAACCTGATGGTTTCCAAACCAGGGCGTTAGGGCACGACCTTTGTGAACTAACAGCGAGAGCAAGACTAGAAGCGAACCTGGTACAAAAATGACAATGAGAAACAACCAGGACTGAGAAAGAAATGAAGAGAGAAAAAGAGACAGAAACAGACCTGAGTGCGAGCGAGATGAAACAGAAGGTTGAGGCGAGTAAGACACAGGAAACGAAATGAACTGGAGAAATCGAATGAGAAAAGAAAACAACAGTGAGGAACGGAAACTCCTTTAATACATTCGGTGCACTCCAGATTAGGTTTCGAACCTTGTCCATCTCACACTTCCATCTCCCCTGCTGCGCCGCATCGGTGTGAGAATGAATCCCCGAACTGGAAGTTCAACACCCCCCCTCATTCTCAACCCGATAGATTGATTCCGTCTACGCAAGCCGTATGCTTCAGTCTGCAGAGTGATTTGGTTAAGAAGTCGGCTAGATTTGAATTTGTCGAGATATATTGAGTTGAAACAATTTTTAGGGCTATTTGCTCGCGTATCCAATGCAGGTGAACCCTAAAGTGTTTGGTCCTGTCATGAAATACTGAGTTTTTCGCCAGTGCGATTGCTGCTTGGTTGTCACAAAGCACTTGAATCGGCCCCTGATGATCGATGTCGAGAGAAGCCAAAAGACGCTTGATCCAGACTGCTTCACGTCCCCCTTCATAGAGAGCCGTGTATTCAGCTTCAGTTGTCGAAGACGAGACTGACGGATTTTTCTTTGACTTCCAAGAGACTACACTGTCTCCTAGTAGAACCAGGTATGAGAAGTAGGAGTAGGAGTTAAGAACATCGTTGGCGTGATCGGCGTCGACGTAAATTTTTACTGGCGAGATGGATGCCCCTAGTGTGATCCCACGAGTGGAGGTACCACACAGGTATCGAAGGAGATGAACACAAGCCGCCCAGTGTTGAGTGCCTGGACGTTCGAGATATTGAGAGAGTTGTGACATGGCGAAGGAAATGTCAGGTCGAGTGGAAACCGCAAGATAATTGAGAAGCCCAATGGCCCGCCTGTAGTTGATGCCAAGGGATTGAAACTCAGAGATTTCTTGAGGAGTCGCTGGAGATAGTCGAGTATGAGGGACCATGGGAGTAGTAACAGTACGACAGTCTTGCATACCAAATGTCTTCAGAATCTTCTGGGTGTAGGTATCTTGGGATAGTCGAATGGAGTTGCCTACTGTCGCTATTTTCATTCCTAGCAGATGACGGAGAGATCCCAAGTCGTCCATGAGATATTTTTCAGAAATTAGACGCTTGAACCGTGCGACATCTTTACTAACTATGACCATGTCATCTACATAGACATGAACCCAGCATCTCCATTCGGAATCATTTGATGAGAAAAGACATGGATCTGCGTCGGAAGGTGAGAAGTTGATGGATTTGAAGAAAGAAGAGAGTTCATGGTGCCAAACCCTTGGAGCCTGTTTAAGACCGTAAATCGATTTTTGCAAGAGTAGACATTTGCCAGGTGGTACCTTGAGTCCCGCAGGTGGTCGAAGATAAATGATCTCGTCGAGTTTGCCGTTAAGAAAGGCATTCTTGACGTCCATCTGATGGATGTCAAGACCCGTAGCAATTCCCATTGACAGAAGTGAGCGTAGTGCCGTTGGCCTACCGGTTGGAGCGTAAGTCTCTGCGTAGTTGAGGCCTTCGACTTGAAAATTGCCGGCAGCGCAAAGCCTGGCTTTGTACTTGGTGAGATTGCCAAATTCGTCGAATTTTTGACGAAATATCCATACGGTGTTTAGGAGTTCAACTCCGGCAGGGATATCGACCACTTTCCAGACTCCTAACCGTTCCATAGCAGAAAGCTCGGCGGCAATGGCTTTTACCCAACTTGCCGAATTCGGGTCTTTCATGGCTTGAGAATAAGTCTTGGGAGCTTCTGCCGTTTGATCAAAGAATTGAGCACCGGCCAGGAAGCACTGAACGTGAAAGTCAAAATCCTCGTCAGCGATGGCCATGTGCGCGCGTCTTTTGGAGGTGATGATGTTTGATGGATCTACATCGGCGCTAATATCCTTTGGAGCTTTTTGATTTATCGGTTGCAGAACCATGTCGAAACCAGGGCGAGGAGGAGCCGAGGATACGGAGTCCGATGTTGAGGATTGTAAGTTGATGTTCTCGTCGACAACTTCGTCTGTCAGAAGACGACGAACATTGTCATCGGAACTATCAGATTCTTCTACCTCTATCATTGGAGAAGGGATTGAGGCTTCCGGTGATTCTTCAGACTCCAATTGTTCAGACAAGAGCGGATCAGGAGATATGAGTCCAGCTGGATTAAACGTGGAGATTCCTGGAAATAAAGTCTCGTCAAATGTGACATCATGACTTAACTCCACACGTTCATCCGCCGTCAGGATGCGCCAGTTATGCATCCCGAGCTGGTATCCAATCATTATTCCTTTCTTTGCCATATCAGAAAATTTGGCAGGCCGCTTTTTGTCGGGTAGATTGACGTAAGCTTGACAACCAAACGTACGAAGCCGAGAAGTGTCGAATGGGCGATTGAACCATAGTTCGTAAGCCGACAACCATTTCTTCTTCTTAGTCGGTGTGATGTTTTCAAGAAACACAGCCGCTTCCACAGCGTAACCCCACATTGAATGAGGAAGGTTAGCCTGCTTCAGCAGTGCCCTCGCTTTCTCGGTCGTTGTCCTATTACCCCTTTCAGCTACAGGATTTTGCTGTGGGGTATATGGAGCAGTGATGTGCGAAGTTATGCCTTT